TCAATTCGATTACGTAGCTTTTGAAAAATTGGAACGTGCACCGATGTTAATGAGAAAACATCGGAAAAAAGAATAATGGTATTCTATAATTCTCCAAAATGGAACTGCACGAATGAAACGTTTGTATAATATATATTTTATTTTTAATTTTCGGATGGATTATTTATTTATTTTTTTAAATAAAAATTCACCAACGGAGATGAATTTTCGAGACGAATTTCAAAGTGTGCTAATTTTGTTTTTTCAATTTAATTTTTAGATTTTAGTTTTGCAAAAATTTGCAAAAATTGAAAATGTATCGAGATCATTATCTACGTTTCTAAAAATTTTTTTTATAAAAAAAAAAAAGGTAACAAAATAAAGCGTTAAATAAAGTGAATACTTGAATACTCTTGTATTAATATAAAAATTATAGAGTTGAAGAAGGCGTTATTAATGATGCTCGTTTCGAGTAAAAATTCAAACAAGAAGTTCGATCTTTCAACTTCTTTCATTTTCTTTCCTCTTCAAAAAGAGTGATCCTCTTCGAAACACTTAGAAGAATAAAATCGTTCAAGATTCTTATTATTCTATACAAATTGTTCTACTTATTATTATAAGATTACTCGATATCGGTTGCTTCATTTATTTCGAGATCATTATAAGAATGAAAACTATTCTCATTATTATTAATTAGATACACAATATTAGACAGCTTATATTCGACCTCATAATTAAATTCGTTTATGAAAATTCCAACCTATTCTCTTTATTTTCATTATCGTGTATCGTTCAAAGGCTTTTCGAAAATTAACTTTTTTATGCATTATTTTTAATTGGATTCTAATTAGTATCGCGAATAAATACACGATGGAATATACTGTACGGAAAATAAGAAATTCACGTAATAGAATTCACTTGGGAAATATCTGTCTAAAAGTTTATAATTTTAATTTAAAATTAAAATTAACATATTAATATTGAATTTAGGTCAACTTATTGAAAAACTTGCTTACTGATTTTTAATAATCTTTTGAGAAACTTTTTTAATCCATAATTATCCGGTTCAGTTTTAATTTTCGTTCGAATTAAAAATCTATTTTTCGCACTGATTTTTCAATATTATTTTTTTTAACACAAATATATTTTTAGAATAAAAATGTACACGTAAAATATAAAATAATCATATATAACAAGGATCTTCAATTTGAGATATTTAATCAGAATCAAAAAAAGTTATCTGTATATTATTAAGTTATCTGCAATTAGATTGCTCTTATTTTTGACATCAAAAAATATTAAAACTGTATTTTTTTTATTTGCATTTCAAAAAAGCAACTACAACCATCTTCGATTACTTTATTTTGACTTAGTTCCGCTCTTTATCTTCCCTCTTTCTTGTTCAACGATTTCTGGTTATGATACACGCGCAACAAGAGTTATCAGAATTGCAATAATCGGAGAATATATAGGAACATCCATCAAAGATGCATGCGTGAACCGTGGCGATTAGGTCGCGATTCGATCGATATTGTGGAAAACAGGATGTAGCCAACAGGGTGTTGTTCGGTCTGGTTTTGTAGTTACGCTAGAAAATCAGATGGAACCAGACTCGTGTCGTCTCTGAATATGCATATAGTGCTCATGTAAATGACGTTTGCGTGACAGGTGAATACCTGTATTGATAACGTGGCTTCGATTCATGGGTGCGAAAAAACTGATCACGCGGAGTCGATCGCGTGGAAAATTACACAGAAGGGCAATTTTTCGACAAAGCTTGCTCTTTAACTTCTCTTTATTAGATGGATCAAGTATATTTTTTTCTTTAATTTATTTTTATCGATCATCCGATTAAAATAATCTCGAAAGCGATGTCGAGCGTTGATAAACATTTGATCGAGATGCATTTTGAAAAAGTGTTGAAGAAAGAAGAGGAAATATACAAAAAAAAAAAAGAAAGACGAGGATTCAATGAAAAAAGAAGGAACAAAGATATATATATATATATATATAGGGAAAGAATAAAAAATATCGCTATTTCGATTAAAAAGGAAGAAAAATTATTCTGTCTGCAAATTACTTCGAGCGATCGAGGTTCAAAGTTTTGGATTGTAATTAACGAGAGGATAGATTTCCAAGTATTAGGAATTCCACGGAATACGAGATTCCACTTATCCGACGATTTGCCAACATCCGATCCGTATTCAGTCAATTTATATGTGTTCGACCACGATTTGAATCCCTCGAGCTCCCTCGAGGGAACGTCTGACGCGGTTGTCGCTTGAAACGCATTAATGTTTGCTAAGCGTCATTCCGGAGGATGGATGCACACGTTTGTTTAGATATGTATGTTTATACGCGTGTTTCGATCGAGAATGCGTTTCTCGATGAAATCTTTGACGATGTTTCTTTTGTTTGTTCATTGATGAATAATAAATGAATAAAATTGATGAAGCATAAATAAAATTGGGGTAGCAATTTTTATTCGCGTAAAGAATTTAAGCAATTGGGAATGATAATAATGGGAATAACGGGATGGAGAATTTAAAAGTGTATAATTTTTTTAAATATACAATAAAGAATTTTGACACGAATCGAATGTAAATGAACGATTAGATAAGAAATCGAGATGACAAGAGGAATAAATAACGAAGATAGGCGATATGAAAGTTAAACAGAGTTTCGGTAAAATAAAGTTTATTTGATTATTTAATTGATCGGACAAGTAGAGCATTGGATATGTTCGATATCCTATACCATCGTTCGAACTCTGATTTCTTTCAATTTTATCTACGTGAAAATTTTTATTTTTTTTTTTTTTTATTCAAATCCAAATCTACTCGACTGGTATTTAAATTTATTTCGACATAAAAAAAAAAAAGAATAGAGAAATTTAAAATTAATTTGCAAACAAGAGAGAAAGAGTAGAATTTTGTCAAGATTTATCAACATTGTTTTTTTCACTATTATTCTATCATTCTTATTTTTATTATCTTTTGATAATGGTGCAGCAAGTTCCAATGTTGTTATGCGAAATGGTGACGGGATAATTAATTACCGCTCTCTCTTCGTTCCATGCACCAACGACTTACCAACGTAATGACAAAATTGGAACACATGTGGCATGCAAGTGTGAATATAAAATTTGTACAACATTCAAGGGAAGCGAAATAGTTCTTTCCATCGATTTACACTTTACGATAATTTGTCTTACAAATTCTTTTTTTTACAGGTGGAAATTATCGTTTCGCAAAAATTAATTATATTCGATTTAATCGAATTAATTAAATCGTTTCTTCACTTAGAATATATAATATTCTATAATTTAACGAAAATTTCTTCGAAGATAAACTGTTTCGTTCAATATTATATTTTCATTTTATGATCAATGAAATAAATTTTATTTTAAAACGGTGAAGAAGTAAATGAAGTTGTTTCACTATATATAAAACTATAAATTGAAACGAATATTTCAAAGATAATTTAAGCAGAAAACGATCGCCGTTCATTAAGAATCTTCCTTCTCCGTTTCAAGTGATGCTCGTTTTGTTTCTTAAATACGAGTACACTTTAACATTTCCAGTTTATTCCACCGCATAAAGGCCATAGAATTAGAGTTTCTTAATTTGCTTAGAGTGTTATTTTCGAGGGAATGAAAGGAGAGTAAAATATAAAAAGATTAAATAAATAAATCGGATCAAGTGAGACTGTACAATATTAAAATTATTTTGAAAAGATTGTAAAATACATAACAGAGATAAATCTTTCGTACAATTGATTTTTCTATATATTATTTCGCAATTCTTCTATTTTATAATTTATTAAATACTAAATATCGATTTATTTATTTATTAACAAACTTTGTTTCATAAATAGGATCCAATCACATTGAAATTGAATACGAAAAAAAAAAAAAAAGGGTATTGTCTTGAAACATTAAATTACCAAGTAATCAAATTTCATTTCGAAAATTTAATTCTCGACAACGTCCATTAACAAAAGCAGCCGATTCTCTGCAACTATTGCAACATGTAAATTACATACTCGAGCTACGATAAATTTCAAATGTCTGGCAAATTGAATTCCGCGAGAAATAGTTCTGGATGAAGTCGTTATGCCCTCAGAAATTATAGTTTCACGAATTGTCGAATTGTTATCCTTTTTCCCATCCGCATAAATTCGAAATGGAAAAGCGATTGGAACACGAACGCGGGAACGTTTGAAACTTGTTATTGAATTTTCACGATCGATCGTTTCGAAAGTTTCGACCACCGTGTACAGAAGACAGAAACACGGTCTTGAGAATCCTCGAAAGTGCTTTGCAGCTTCGACAACGGTGATCACAGTGTTTCTATGGAGAAACTTTTGTTATAGATCGATATCTGAATTAAACAACGCGGTGAAATTTGACTTTTAATTTTTAAAAAAAATTACGTTTATTTTTTTCGAGACGATGACTTGCCAATCGAAGTATTTTTAGGGAAATGTTTGATTATTCTTTTTTTTTTTCTTTTTTTTTTTTTTTGATGATATGAAAAATTGTTAAGAGAGAAAATTATTTTTAGGGGAAAGTATGTGGTATTTATTTATTCCTGTTGCAACGTGAAAAGTTTTTTTTATTATTGTGAGAATATTTTGAATGAATTGTAAAGAAAGCTTCGTTTGATTAATTTCTTTCAACAATTGTAACTATTATTTCAAAGAAATTATGGCCGACGAATTATTTGCGCCATCGTACATTGGATATTAAAAAGTTCGATATCCGGGATAAAGAACAAGATGGTGAAAATTATCAAAAGATTTTTCAGTTATTAAATATCGTTCGATGTTCTGCAACCACCCCATGAATTCGGGGGTTGGTGCTCACTTTAGAAAGTGATCAAGATCTCGTTAAGAATTCTTAAAGTATCGTTCAGGAATCGAGAAGAAGCGAACTATGGATATTGATTTTCAGTTAGTACCTGTCGATTTTGTCGATTGTTTCTTTTTCTTTAATCTTTACGTTTTATTTTTCTTTCTAGTCTCGATTCTTTGCACTCACGCCTCACATTCACCGGATATTTAAGTGACCTGCTTCAAGATTGCAAACGGTAAATTATTTTTCTTTTATTTTATTTATTAACTTTTCCCGCTCTCTGTAGAATTAATTTAATATTTCTCGTTTTAGTTCTTCCACTGTGAACAAAATGAAAATTCTCTGCTATTCTATTTACTATTAATATTTTCTTTATTTTTCCAACTAATTTTCACTCTCACGTGAAGCCCATTCTTTAACATTTTTGAAAAATATTTTTTACATAGTAATTTAAAATACCAATATTTTTATTAGTCACAACTGTTACATTCGTTTATCAAGAAATGTAATAAAAAATGTAATAATTTGATTTTCTTTACTTCGTATTATTTCCATTAAAATAATTCAAAGCGAAATATTCCAGATTTTTTGAAGAGTTGGGATCTGTATATTTGAAATAATTTAAATATTTCTATTAAGATAATTAACAGAAAAAAAAAAATTAAGCATTTTGATTTTAGATAGTAGAACAGTAGATGAACACGCATAGAGAACATGCATAGATATTGACGTGATTTCTCTGCGGAATCGAGCTCAGTCGCGGTACAGTAAAACGTTACTTATTGTTTCCTGTCCGGTCGTTCGAATGGACGCAATAACTCGCATTCCAATGAAGTTATTACAAGCTTCTGTATCAATTGAAACGATCTCTATTCATAAATCGTAGACGCGTACGGAATCGTGCATCTATTTCAATTTTCCAACAATTTTCCAACACGCGAGATCTAATTATTCTCGCGCTTCCAAAGAGATGGTATTTTTTAAAATATTCCCAGAGATGCTTTGGTTCTTGTTTCAAAGATCAGATAAAGAATAACAGATACGAAATTCTATCTTTGTTAATTCGCGTGCGAGTTATGTTTATCGTGTATCTTTTTAATTAAAGTTCGATAAATTTTGTTTTTTATTAACATTGATCGAGAAAATTACAAAATTTAATTTATCTTCGTTTTCGATTTGATTTTCTCCCTGATTTTGATCTTTTGAGATTTTTCATCGATTCTTTTATTATTTTATCATGTAAGTATTATTAAAATCGAAATGTAAAAATTGTATCAAGAATTGCTCTATAACTTGATTTTTGATTTATGATTTTTGAAAATCATAGTTATTTATAGTCTTTATTTTTCAGATCAATTTGCCGATACAGTTTACTAATATATAACCACTGAATCAAACGCTACATATTAAAAATCGTTAATACGTCAACCCTTCTATTGTATCTCAAACCTTTCTATTGTGCTTCAAATCTATACGACCCAATTTTATTTTTAGATCAATATATAACTTCTTGGATTCGTTATTACCGAAATCATATTTTTAAAACGTATTTTTCTTTTTTAAATTTTATATTATTTGCACAATTATTTGCAAGAACGAAAATAAATAGAGGAATGTAAAAATGAAAGGACAGAAAGATTATATAATTCAAAAATAATTAAACATTGACGAGTAGCAATTTATCAATATAAAGTGTAATTTAAAAAGAAAAAATTTGAAAAGAATTTGAAAAGAAAAAATTATGAGAAGAAAAAAATAAAACTAAAAATCCATCCACAAATTTTGAATAATTGTTACTGTGATAATACTCCTGGAGGGGTTAATATCACATTTTCTCGCTGTATAAGTAATTATTTCACATTGTTATCAATTCACATTGTTCTCAATCTCCCCTCAAGGACAGATATTTTAAATCTTATAAAATTTGTTACAGATGCCCGTGAACGCGACAGCAGGCAGCACACTTCCGGACGAGGAATTCCATCGAATAATAATGGAGAGGGAGCAAGAATGTTTGCAACTCCAAGCAATGAATTCAACCCCGCCATCAGGTACTATTTGAATATATTCTTGATATGTATAAATCTAACGAGAATCCTTGAAATTTTTGCATATTATATTGTAAATATATTGTAATATTTATTATATTGTGAATAATTTTCTAGTGATTCTAGAGATAATTAGATATAGTCAAATAAGATAAATCACAATTTTTAAAATATAAATAAAGTGGCGTAAATGCATTCATCGTGAAATTTACTGGAAAAGATTTGCGGAAACTTGGTAACTCTGAATTATAATTTTAAATATATTTTTCTTTTTTTTCTTCGAAGATAGATTTTCGATAATTTGTAATCGATTTTAGGTGAAATAAAAAGACGTAACATTTTAATAATATTTTAAAATACTTATTAAAATATAGAGATGTGAAGGATTTCACGATTTTTTTCGTAAAAAAAATGTTAATGTTGCGAAACTAGTTTCAAAAATTTTTTGCAATTTAATTTATTAATTAAATACGTTTGAACGTTGACGATGGTAATTAATAATGGTAATATAATAATCGAGGAACTTCAAAATTTCATATTATTTTGAAGATCGTTGTAATGAAAACGATTTCATTGATAAGTGGTTGAATTATTTCACGAGTGGACAGATCTGTCGATAATAATTTAATTAATAATAAAATTATGATATATAATGGTATCCAATGAAATCAATATTTATTATATTGTAAATAATTTTCTAGTAATCTTAATTTAAAAATATTTAATTTTTTTTCCAATCACGACCAATCTGAAAATTTTACAAATGTTTCTCTGAAATCAAAAAAAAAAAAAAAAAAAAAAAAGAAAGAGAAAACAAATCTCAAATAGATATAATTTTAACGTTCATCATCAGAAAGTTAAAAACACAAGAGAAAGTTAATTGAAATTAATATATATTTATAAAATATTTGAATATTTTACTAATTACTATTTACATAAATAAATATATTTATGTAGATAAGCGTATAAAAGTGAATAACATGTAAAACGATACACATTCATACACAATGTACATTCTTAGATACACATTTAAAAGGATTCACTTCATCTTCTTCGACTCTTCTTTGGATTGATTTTTTTTGAAAGGACAAGATTTATATCCGAATACAAAGTTTTTCGCTTTTCGTATCAAGAAAATGACGAGAGAGAAAACTATTACCACACTTAGAACCATGAATCCATAAACGTCTAAAAGACTCTGTTGAAACATGTTGAGGTCTATGGCCGATGATTGCAGAATGTATCCATGTCTCGCCACGTATTCTACCCAATAAATAGCGGTGTCAAGAGCGGTCATGGGTCTATCCTTGAATAATTCTGACAATTTCTGCATATTCGATCTGGAAATTTAATCAATAAAATATTAACGAAAGACGTGGAATTTTTGTTAACGTGGAATTAAAAAATTGAAAAAGAAAGATAATTTTAAATATTTGTTTGTTGTTTTTTTTTTATTTTTATTTAGAAGATAAGATAAACAGATATCGGTTTCGAAAAATCTTAACGATAAGATCTGAGATTGAGACAAATCTGATTAAAAAGTAAAGGTTCTCAATATTTAAAATTCATTCTCTTATTTTCAATTCTGAATAATTACGAATGAATGAAGCTTAAAATTAAAAAATTAATAAACCACTGCAGTATGACAAAACACAGCCAGAGATAATTGTATTAAAGAACGATAAAATAATAATAAGAAAGAAATAGCAAGAAAGTAGAGGAAGACGAAAATACTGAAGAACTAAATAAAAATGGCATCTGCAAAGTACATATTATGCAAAATAGAAAAGTGTGTACCATAAAGAGGAAAGTGAAAAAATGAGAAATTGAAATTGAAATAAATGTCTTTAACCATTTCTTATAACAGAAAATATAAAGTTCAAACATCTTTGAATTCTTAATTAATGTCATGAGTAAGAAAATTAGATGTTTTTCTTTTACATTTGTGGACAATTATTTCTCGATTTCCTTGAATATTATAAATTCAAAAAAATATAATTTTTAGAGAAATTTCAGAGAAATATACGTACTTGTATTTTTCATCGTACAGAACACTTTTAAGTGCATAGTACAAGTTCTCTTCCGTGACATTATGCAACGAGCCAAGATTCACAGCTACATTTTTCCTAGCCATGTTTTGAAGATTCAAGTTTTGATCGCCGAAAAGTGGGATTCCAACCAATGGGATTCCGAAGTAGATCGCTTCTTGCGTCCCCATCAGTCCTCCATGCGTGATGAACGCTTTGAGATTTTGGTGTTCTGAAATTTAAAAGAGAATTAAAATTAGAAAAAAAAAAAAAAATGGATCCGTACAATCTATTCTTCCATTTTCGAATTATGCAAATTAATAATTACAATTTAATGATGTGTGATATTTAAACTCTTTTCAACAAAAAAAAAAAACATATTTAATGATATTTAACGGATGCTTTTTGAAAGACTTTTCAAAGGAATTTATCAGATTCATTGTTGACTGATGTGAGAAAATTATTTAATTACGTACTGAGAACGGATATTTGAGGATACCAAGGTTGTATCATCACGTTATTCGGCAATCCAGGAAGTAGATCCTCTTTTTTCGCGACTTTCATCATTACTCGAACAGGCGCGATCCTCTTGAAAACTTTGTAGAATGTTTCCACGAGGGATTTAGGGAATGTCTCGATCCTCACCATCGAGCCGAACGTGAAATACACGCAACCGTGAGTACTTTCGTCCAACCATTTTTTTAATTCCTATTGGCACAATAAGAATTATTTTTCTTAGAATATAAATCAACGTGAAGAATATTTCTTCGCTTCCCGGATAGGAAGAAAATATTACGACGAAGCGATTATATATAGTCGCGTGTTTAGAGGACACTAAGCTTTTCTGCAACTTCGAATGCATTACGGTAATTGCACGTTGCATCATAATCTCGGTCGATCATCTTAATAGCGCTTCAAGATTATTATTTTTTCGACAAGCTTTATCGTTGTACCCTATTCTTCCTCTAAGTTTCCGATAAAAACTTCAAGTTACACTTTATACAAAATTATAGCCTAATATTATAATTACGTATATTTTAAAATTTTTTTAAAATTTTTCACAATATTTTTCAGAACAAATACGATTTTCTTCAAATACAATTCTTTCGTCAAATCAAATTCTTCACATATTTTTTACAAATTTTAAGTTATTTAAAATTCTTCTATATATAATTTTCTTAATGGCTCATTATTACTTTTCTTGCATTCATTCGATTACTCAAAAAATCTTCTATTCCTCTTTTTTCCCTTCTTCGTTGAACAAACAACAAAATGGAAATATTAAAAATATTTAAGTGAAGATAATCACCGGTGTCAAAGGATCTCCGTCCTCTTTGAGATGTAATCCTCCAACCTCGATGATACCGGTACTTTTGGTAGTGACACCTGCTATACTGTGATGAGAGTTGACAAGGATGAGCGCGAGATTTTTGTACAGTTCAGGTATCTCCGCGTCTAAATCCAGATATTGTTTCACGTAAGCTTTTTGCTTGTTTACATAGTAGTCAGCTTGCAGTATGATCATGTTGGTTATGAAAGTATTCTGCAATCTTTCCCAGAAACTCATCCGTTCTGTGAATGAAGTGAATATACCGGGCGTGATGGCTAAATTTATCGGATTTCCCACTCTGTGGCTTATCCAGTCTATGAAACTGGAAGTGATTATACCGACCACAGGTGTTTTTAGATAAGTACCGAATGCCAAATAGCATGGTGACATGAACAACTGAAAGAAAAAGAAGAATATATATGGAATTATTTGGAAGGATTAGCCTTTTATTAATCGAGATTTCTTTATTGGTCAATGATTGATTAATTAGATTAAGAATGGATTGGACATTTTCCAAGATAAAAGAAATTTCCTGTTTAACTTTCGAGTTATTTGATTAGATGCTGCATTTTTTTTTTTTTTAGAAATAATATAAATATAAACAAGTTTCCAATTTTGTATTACATACTTATAATGATATGTTGCAATTATAAGAAAAAACGTTTTACATTTTTTAAATTAAGGATTTTGCTCTCAATTATTTCTTCAATCGCAAAAGTGAATTTTAAAAAAAAAAATGAATAATTCAATTTTCAATTTCATAAGAAGAAAAAGTTAAATAATAATTATTCATGTATAATAATTAGAAATATAGAAGTACAATGAATTGTTATTAATAATATAAACAATATTGACGTGTCAATATTGAAGTTTCACAATGCATTCCACTGTTGCATTTTATTCTTTCTAATTATGTTAATTAAAACATTGATGATTCATAAGAAAGATATGAATAAGATTAAACATTTTCTATGTTACGTAGATAATTATACTTATACTTATATGTACTTAAATTATTCCAATAATATATCATTTGATAATGAAAATTTATAATTAAATTTATAATTAAATTAGAAATTAAATTAAAATAAAAAAAGATAAAATTTTTTTTAAACATTAGACAAGGTTTTTAATAACTCGTGAACAAAAATTTTTGCAAAAAGAAATATTGTTTGGAATTAGAATCTCAAGAATCTCCTGTTAATCATATTTCATATTTGCCTTCATATTTTTGAGACGATAATTATGATTTTGAATAAGAGAAATCCATTGTTTCAGTGGCAAACATTTGTGATAATATTTCTATCCCATTAAAATGCTTTTTAATATTTGAAAAAGATGAAGAAAATTCATTTACAAAATAAATTGTTTTACAGAGATATAAGGTAAAATTATACAATCCTTACCTCTGTCGCGATAAGATCGTATGGTTCCTTAGGAGGATTCTTTATCAGCTTTTGAATGTAAGGATGTTTCATTAGATCGCACAATTGATCACCCGCCATATAGGTCATCATCGCCAAATTCACGTTACCAAAATTTGTTACATTATCCGCTGTAACATTATTCACCGCGATTTCTAACGATCCCTTCAATGAATATTGATTGTAATTCTTGGGCGGATTTTTTATGGGGAAGTGGGTGTA